TGCTTTTTTGTTCCCAACTTTTGCATAGTAATCACCAGCAATTATCAATACATGTTGATTGCATGTCTGGTCAATTTCAGAGTACAGAAGTTGGTAAAAAATCTTTAACTTCTTCATCATTGGATTTAGTGGTTTGTACATAAATTTGAATAACAGTAGTATTAACTCAATTTCTTTTTAGGTATAAGGATATTATCCTATCACTGGCATCATTGTACTTCAGGATAGATATGAAATGTTCTTTTTTCCCATGAATAGAACATCATTCTTTTTTAATTTGTCATACCAGCCATAGTAGACCATATGATTATCTGACTCAGAATGGGCAATACCAATCCATTTCAGCTCACTAATGCCTAGTATACTGATTTATCCATTCCATTTTATTTTCGACAGCTTCCATTTTTCTTAGATTCATACTTCGTACTTCATACTTCCCCCATGAGGCCCGACGTTTGCAAGCAGGGTTAACAAGAAATAATTAAGTCAGTAATCTGGCAGTATAAAACAGCTGGGAGAGAAATTTTATTTGTTCCTTTAGCTATGGTGCTAGTGGGACATGTGTGGTATTAGCTTCTAGCATCAAAGTGGACATTCCTGGCCAGGGAGAGACCAGCAAAAGATAGGATCCTATTGTGTTGCTCAGATATGATGTCATGTAAAAGTCTTATGTGGAAGAGTTCTAACAGGACAGTTCTCAGAAGCCATGTGTCATGTAAATTCCCCATTTAATTCTATCACCCATGACATAAAGTGAGGTGTGAATGGAGAAGTCATCATCTCTATCCAGACATGTTTTTGAGCAAGTGGGACTGCTCATCTGGTCTTTCCTGTATGCTTCATACTGTAAGCAATAAAAGCTTCCTTGTGTGTGATAATGGATATTTAGGCTATGCTCAGAATGACTTCAAGTTTGTGGCACAATCCATATTCATTATTAGTTCCCTTTTTCCTGTTGTTGTTATGAGCTGTTGAGTTGGACCCGACTTACAGCAACCCCTTCTTGGGTTTCCGAGGTGGTATCACTGTGGAAGTAGATTGCCCAATGACCTTCTATTTGCCAAGAAATTAGTGATGACTTGACAGCACCTCACAGATTTGCTATTACACCACAGCAGAACAGGGTCTTGTAATGTTACTTTAATCTCTTTGGAATAAACTACATCTCTGGTGGCGTAGTACCTAAGGCATTTGACTGCTAAACAGAAGGCTGGTGGTTCAAACCCACCAGCCACTCCTCGGAAGAAGGTTTAAGTCTTTGCAGACATATTCCATTTATCTTAATGATAGCTTTATGGATGGCTTGATGGTCAAAATCTTTGGTCTCCAATAGTACACATGTCTCTAAATATCTTCAACTTTCTACTTTCGTAGTGATACCACCTCAGACACCCAAGGAGGGGTCGCTATGAGTCAGATATGACTTGATGGCAGTGTGTTATGTATTTACTATGGTGCTCTGGTGGTATAGTGGTTAAAGCATTTGGTTGCTAATCAAAAGGTTGGTGGTTCAAACCCACAAGCCCCTCCACAGAAGAAAGATGGGTCAGTCTGCTTCAGTAAAGATTTACTGCCTTGGAAAGCCAATGGGAGTCACAACGAGTCAGAATCAACTCAATTGCAGTAAGTTTTTTAAATTTATTTTATTACTTTTACATACCCATGTCTGCTAACTTCTAGTCTATTGATTATTTTCTTTTTTTAAAGTATAAGACTTACCCTAAGATTTCTTGTCTGCTCTAGTTCATAGCTTTTTGTTTTTTTCTAGAAGAAATTATATAAAATTATCATTTTCTAAACTTGTACCTTAGGAGCTATGATAGCATAGTGCCTAAGGCACTTGACTGCTAACCAGAAGGCTGGCAGTTCAAACCCCCCAGCCACTCCTCCGAAGGAAGATGGGGCAATCTACTTCTGTATTGATACTGCCTGGGAAACCCAAGGAGGGGTCGCTATGAGTCAGGTCTGACTTGATGGCACATAACAGAAACAACAACAACAACAAACTTGTACCTTATAGTTCCCAGACCATGAATCCTTCAGAAGAAAATAAAAGAGCTACAGAGCTATAGAACTCTGTTTGTTCAGGTCAAAATTGTTATGTTTCTTTTTCTTTTTCCCCATTTTACATTTTAAAATGTAACTGAAGGAGCATGTAGGTGGGATGGAACTAGTGGCATTATTTTAGCCTATTAACAAGGTTTTCAACACAAATATTTTTCAGAGTTTGAGTCCTTATTCATTTTATTTTTTGCATATTCTTGTCCATAATAACACCTGCTTAGAGTCATGAAAATCCATAAGCAAAGTGGTATATTTGCCTTCATAAAACAACATATACTTGTTCTGTGAAAAATTAGTAAACTTGTAGTTTGTTGTTAGGGCTTAATAAATTGTCTAATGCTAAAAAATAAATGAATAAAAAGGAGTAGGATCAGTAACTGGCTCAAACCAACAATATACCACCTTCCTGCTTTCTATTTAAGTCTTTGCAGACATATTACATTTATCTTAATGATAGCTTTATGGATTGCTTGATGGGTCAAAATCTTTTGTCTCCAATAATACACTAAATATCTTCAATCTGCCAAAATGGTAAAATCTGCATTTAGTTAATAATTACAAGAGAGCATCATTTCCTCTAGTGTAAGAGACATTTCATCTTATGCCCTATAGACCCTGTGTTAGTGGGAGGACAGGGTATATAGCCTATGAGAAATGAATGGCATTAATCTCTAAACCAGAGGCTAGACCAGTACATCTTATCTTCATTACATTTAGATGGCAGATGGGCTAGTAAGTGCTTGATGAAATTCGGTGGCTCTATCTTTCAAGAAAGTAATTTAATTACACTGATAGAGATAAGACCAAGCAATATTTCTTTGTCTGTTAAAACTGACATTATGCCAAATTTCTAATCAGTTCCTAAATAAATTAAATTCAAACCAAAAAATCCCCAAATGTATGAAATCCCATTTCCCCACTACACACACACATACACACACAAACACATTAAAAAGACTTTATGAAGTGGAAACATAGATTGCTTTTTTTTTTTTTTTTTTGTTATATAGGCAGTCCCAGACTTACAAATGGGGTTCCATTCTGATGCCTACTCTGTCATAAGTAGGTTCTGATGTAAGTTAAATACTTTTTTACACCCCCATTTTCATTATTATTGCCTTTCATTACCAGTATCTTTCTAAATCTGATCTTTGTCTCTGGGGATTGGAAACTGTGATAGTTGGAGCTGTGTATCTACTTGGCTGGACCACAATTCTGTGTGGTTTAAGCAATTGTGATGTGGGTTATTCTCATGTTGGGATTGGATGTATATGTTTTGAGCAGTCAGTCTGTTGAAAGAGAGTTTCCCTAGGTGTATGGACTGCTTCCAGTATATTTATGGACATCCTGGGAAAAGAGACACTCCTCTGTCGATTGGGATATTGTTGTGCTGCCTATAATTGTCCATGAGAGAACAATCCACCATTTGGCCTGGAGATCTTGGATTTATCATTCATTGGAGTCAATAGCTGGTATACTGCCAGCCAAACTTGAGCTTGTCAGCCCCTGCAGCTGCGTGAGTCAGGGAAATGCTCCAGCTTGACATTTGATCCAAGAACTTGGGACTTGCCAGCTTCTATAAGTGTGTGAATCATCTTCCTAAGATAAATTTCTCCTTCTCTATATGTATATATACGCTTTACTGGTTTTGCTTCTCTAGAGAACCCAGCCTAACACAGAAACATTATATCTGATAATGATAACATAAGCAAAGTATATGCTGCAATATTGTATGTAGTACGATATTATTAACAAGCTGTACATGTACAAAAAAATGGTGGTAAGTGTGGATTGTCACAACTCAAATCTGAAGACTATCTTCACTATTAAATTTAGAAATGACTATCACTCCATCTCTCTGTACACATGTTGCACATTTGTTAACTGTTTTATCTTGTTTACCTTTACACATATGACACTAGATCTATCTGTGTTCCCAAATATAACCACAGATTTAAAAATCCAAGTCAGACTTTCTGTTAAGTGCTATGGTGTGCTAATCATCCTTTCATATGCATGCACATTCATTGTAACAGGTTATACAACTAATATCAGATAATATTTAAAATCTAATTATAACTGTCCATCAAAAGTATTATTAACCATACTTTCACTTGAGGGTCAATGAAGAGAACTTCACCATTTGCTTTCCACTTCACTTAATTATTTTTCAAGGACAAGGCTCAATTAAAAACAAAATAACAATAACTTTTCTTTTCCTAATATTTAAGTAGACAGATGGTTCATGAAGTTTTCCATACATATGTCTTAAGCCTCAAGAGAGGAAATTCACAACATACTTATTATGTCTTGGCTTTTTGATGGTGATTAGATTGCATAATTAGCCACAGAAAACACAATACTAATTAAGAGTTAAAAAACAACAACAAAAATTCTATCTTAGTCTATCAAAAAATAATGGAAATATAAACCCTTAGAGCTATATCTTTGAAATTGTTTAATTAACCAATCTTAAAAACTCTGCATATTTATCTAACACTTGGTATTGGTCTAATTCTCTCATTTTATTAATAAAGAAAATGAGTCCCATGGAATTTAAATGACTTTTCTCAAATCATGTACAACTTGGGTAAGAATGCAAGTTTTCTTATTCCTAATCTAGTTTAATCTAGTTCTTGGAACACTTAAAACAGAAAACAGAATTTATTCTCCTAGTGATTAGGCATCAAAACAAATAGTAACAGTCACCACACCATTAGACAGACCTATCCCTAAAAGTAAATCTTGCTTTCTGATTATTGTTGGTTTCTCATTTTCCCTTGGTATTTAACATTCATTTATTTGCAATTGCTAAAAACATGCATTTGCATAATAGTACAGTCAAAACACTTAGAACAAGTCAATACACTATTAAGAATTGGCAAAAGTACATGTGATTCATCAGCCTTTCCCATTTCAGACAATGGTGCACACACCTTAATTTTTCCGTTCCAGCTTTGTACCTTGAGATTCGAGCCATAGACAGTGGAACTGACAAGGTGTCTAGCCAGCGCTTCTCATATTTTGGTTCATTAGCTATGGGCGAAGAAGGTGATGATGGAGCCTGTGCAAAGTAAATGACAATCAATAATCATAGAATCAGTCATGGAACACCATATACTGAGAAAGGCATCTTTGGTTTGAATGTGAGCAAGGTTTTGATTTTTCTTTTTTAAACAAAATATTGTAAAAAACTGAGAGAAGTTGAAGGGAAGGTGGGGGGAAAGGGAGGTCAAAATCAGAAGAGGAAAATTAGCACTATGACAAAAGTATTAAGTCAATGAAGGCTATGTAAAAAAACATACCAAATCAATTGAGTGTCAAATTAGACCGAGTTTAGGTTCAAAATACAATGAAAAAACCACTATGTATAACATTTCAGTGGATATCTAATCACAAGATACTTATTAGTAGCAAAGACTCCACTGTCTATTGAATGGATGTGAATGTCTCATCCAGAAGCAGAACATTAAGCCAATGAGGATGGAAGAGAGTTGCTTTTTCGATAACAGGGGCTGAAGGTGAAATGAAGATTATATGAAAAAGTGAATGAATGCATGCAAACATACTATATTACTAGATAAAACATCTCTAATCATCTAACTAACAAATGAATCAGAAGACTGGTTCTAAGGAAGAATATTGCTCTATATACCTATTTCTAGGTTTTTCAAGGAGAAGCTATTCATTGCCTGGCATTTTATTTTGGAGCACACAGCATAAGGTTAATTAAAGTGTTGATTCATCCCAACCACCAATATACAATTGCCTCATCTCACGATGGAAGTTTATTTTACATTGACAAAGGAACATCACAAGTCTTAGTAGAGATAAACATCTCAGAATGCATAGGCAAGTCTTCATACATTCCAGATCACCTACAGTATCTCAGTTTATTCATTTAAGTGTAATAACTATCTGACTTGTACATATTGGAAACTTAGAGGTTGTATACTTATTATTCTGAATTTAAAGATGAGGAAATCAAGGAGGGAAATGATGTAAAATATAAACTGTTTTTCAGTTGACACACAAAATCCCAAAGAGTCCACCAAAGAATGTTACTGGAACTAATAAAAGATTCAACAAAGTGCCAAGGTATAAGATCAACACACAAAAAAATAAATTGGGTTTCTCTACACTAACAAGAAGGACTCTGAACAGGAAATCAAGAAATCAATACCACATATAATGCCTCAAAAAGAATAAAATACCTAGTAATAAACCTAAGCAGGGATGTAAAAGATTTACACAAGGAAATCAATAAATGATCACTGTAAAAAAACTAAAAGAGATCCGCATAAATACAAAGCATTCTATGCTTTGGATTAGAAAACTTAACATTGTGAAAATATCAATACCATCAAAAGCAATCTTTAGATATAATACAATTTCAATCTTAATCTCAGCAACATTCTTTAATCAAATGGAAAAATAATTTCCAACTTTATTTGGAAAGGAAAGAGGGCCTATATAGTTAAAGTAATATTGAGGAAGAAAAGTAAGGCAGAATGCCTCACACTTCCTGATTTCAAAACTTAATATACAGCCATGGTAATCTGCTTACGTCTGGTTCAATGACAGGCACACATAGATCAAACAGACACATATAGACCAATGGACCAGAATTGAAAGCCTAGCAGTAAATCCATCTATCTACAGGCATCTGATCTTCGACAAATGGTCAAAGTCTATTCAGTAGGGAAGAAGCAGTCTCTTTAATGAATGATGCCAGAAAAACTGGTTATTCATTTGCAAAAATAAGAAACAGGATGCATACCTCACACCATGGGGGAAGGGGAAAACTAATAGACAGTGAATCAAAGAACTAAATGTTTAAGGTAAAATTATAAAGTTCCTGGAAGATAATATAAGAAAAAAATTAAGGGACCTAATTTTTTGGCATAAATAGACTATTAAACACAATTAATAATGCACAAACAATGGAAGATAATTCAGGTAACTGAGATTTCCTAAAAACTAAATACACATGATGTGGTACAACCTTAAATGAGAAGAAAACAGCTGCAAACATTGATTTCCAATTGGAACATGGAATATACAAAGTATGAGTCAAAGAAAACTGAAAGTTGTCAAAAATGAAATGAAATGCATAAAGATCAATATCCTAGACATCACTGAGTTGAAATAGACTGGTATTGGCCATTTTGAATCAGGCAATCATATGGTCTACTATGCCTGGAAAGACAAATTGAAGAGGAATGGTGTCACATTCATCATCACAAAACATTTCAAAATCTATCCTGAGATACAATGATGTTCGTGTTAGGAAAATATCCACACTTCTAAAAGGAAGACCGTTAATACCAATATTATTCAAATATATGCACTGACCACTAAAGCAAAAGATGAAGAAGTTGAAAATTTTTACCAACTTCTGCAGCTTGAAATTGATCAAACATGCAATCAAGATATATTGGTAATTACTGATGATTGAAATGAGCTTACAGAGAACAAAGAAGAAGCATCCATAGTTAGAAAATATGGCCTTGGTGAAAGAAATGACACTGGAAACTGCATGATAAAATTTTCCAAGATCAGTGATTTATTCATTGCCAATACCTTTTTTCAGCAACATAAATGGTGACTATGCATGTAGACCACACCAAATGGAATCACAAGAGTCAAATTGACTGTCTATGTGGAAGGAAGGAAGTGATAGAGAAGCTCAATATCTTCAATCAGTACAAGACCAGGAGCTGCCTATGGATCATACCATCAATTGCTCATATGAAAGATCAAGTCAAAGCTGAAGAAAATTAAAACAAGTTTACAAGAGTCAAAAAACAACCTCAATTATGTCTCAACTGAATTTAGAGACCATCTGAAGTAGAGATTTGATGCACTGAACACTAATAACCAAAGACAAATAGAGTTGTGAGATGACATCAAGAATATCATACATGAAAGCAAAAGCTCATTAAATAAACAAGAAAGGAAGAAAAGACCCAAACAGATAACAGAAGGCAATTTGAAACTTGCTCCTGAATGGAGAGTAGCTAAAGCAAATGGAAGAAATAATGAAATAAAAGAGATGAATAGAAGATTTCAAAGGACATTTTGAGAAGAAAAAGTAAAGTATTAAATGAAATATGCAAAGATCTGGAATTAGAAAACCAAAAGAAGAACATGCTTGCCATATCTCAAGCTCAAAAAATTTAAGAAAATATTCAAGCCTTGAGTTGAAATATTGAAAGAATTTTATGGGCAAAATTTTAAGCTAAGTATGAAACATGAAAAAAGCTGTGGAAGGAATACACAAAGTCACTGTACAAAAAAAAAAAAAAGTTGATGTTCAAACGTTTCAGGAGAAAGCATATGATCAGGAACTACTGATATTGAAGGAAGAGATCCAAACTGCACTGAAGGAAGGCTCCGGGAGTCGACAGATTATCAATTAAGATGTTTCAATATACTGATACTGAACTGAAGGCACTCACTCATCTATGTCAAGGTATCTGGAAGACAGCTACCTGGCCAACTGACTGGAAGAGATCCAATTCTGTGCCCATTCCCATGAAAGCTTATCCAACAGAATGTGGAAATTTTCTGACCATATCATTAATGTCACAGGCCAGTAAAATTTTGCTGAAGATAATTAAAAAAAAGGTTGCAGTATTACACTGAGAGGGAGCTGCCAGAAATTCAAGCTGGATTCAGAAGAAAACAATGAATGATGGATATCACTGGTGGTGTCAGATGAATATTGGCTAAAAGCAAAGAATACCAGAAATATGTTTATCTATGTATCATTGACAATGCTAAAGCATTCGAGTGTGTGCATCATAACAAATGACATATCACATTGCCAAAAATGGAAATTCCAGAAACTCAATTGTGCTCATGAGAAACCTGTACATAGAGGAAGAGGCAGTAGTTTGAACAGAAAAAGGGGATACTGGGCTGCTTACAATCAGGAAAGGTATGTGTTGGGGTTTTATGTTTCACCATACTTATTCAATATATATATTGAGCAAATAATCTGAGAAGCTGGACTCTGTGAAGGACACAGAATCAGGATTGTGGAAAACACATAAACAACCTGCAATATGCAGATGACACAACCTTCCTTGATGAAAGTGAGGATGACTTAAAGTACTTACTGACAAAGATCAAAAACTATAGTCTTCAGTATGGATTGCACCTTAACGTAAGAAAACAAAAATCATCACAACTGGACCATAAGCAAGATCATGATGGATGGAGAAAAGATTGAAGTTGTCAGGGATTTCATTTTACTTGGATCCACAATCAATACCCATAGAAGCAATGATCAAGAAATCAATCTATACATTCAATGAACTCCAAATCCAGGTTCCATCAACATTCTTAAAGGACATGGAAAAACCTGTCTCTGATTTTGTATGTAAAGGAAAGAGCCCTCAGATAATCAAAGCACTACTTAAGAAGAAGAATAAAGTAGGAGGTCTCACGTTCTGTATATCAAAACCTCCTAAACAGCAACAGTAGTCAAAACAGTCTGTTATGTACAATGACAGACACATACCAGTGGAAAAGAATTGAGAACCCAGAAATAGATCCATGGACCTATGGTCAGCTGATCTTGAACAAAGGGCTGAAATTCATTAAATGGGGAATAGATAGTCTCTTTAACAAATGGTGCTGGCAAAAGTGGATATCCATTTGCAGAAATATGAAAGATGATTCATACCTCACATCATACACAAAAAACTAATGCCAGATAGGTCAAAGACTTACATGTAAAACCTAAAACTATGAAGTTCATCAAACAAAAAATAAAGGAAAACATAGGGGCCTTATGGCATTAATAGACTACAAAACATAAGTGAAAATGCACAAATAGCAGAAGATAAACTAGATCATTGGGATCTTCTAAAAATTAAATTCTTATGTGAATCAAAAGACTTCTCCAAAAGAGTAAAAAGAGAAGCCACAAATTGGGAAAAAAATATTCAGCAATGATGTATCTGACAAAGGACTACCTTCTGAAATTTATAGAAAACTCAAACACCTCAACATCAAAAAGACAAACAATCCAATAAAAAATAGGAGGAAGACATG